ACTAAATCAGTTCTTCCTGCAAGCTCAAAATCTAGTTTGAGGGGGCAGGGGTGAGAAACAGAAGACAAACTCATCAACAGCCAATAAACAGAATGCTGGGAATACCACACACAGCCAACCACTCACCCCCTCAGGAAGATTTGGTTCTACAAATAACCTTCACTTAACACATGAAGTTCAGAGGAAAGAGCCGTCAGGTATATAGGAGACGATGTTATACAGGGACCTTGAAGGAGAAGTGCCATTCTGAAAAGGGGACTAGGAGGGACAATGGCTAGATGGAGCAGCAAAGAGCTGAGGTGAAAGTCTCTCTCTCTCTCTCTCTCTCTCTCTCTCTCTCTCTCTCTCTCTCTCTCTCTCTCTCTGTCTCTCTCTCTCTCTCTCTCTGTCTCTGTCTCTCTCTGTCTCTCTCTCTGTCTCTCTCTCTCTGTCTGTCTCTGTCTCTGTCTCTCTGTCTCTCTCTCTGTCTCTGTGTGTGTGTGTGTGTGAGAGAGAGAGAGAGAGAGAGAGATCTGTGAAGCTATGTGCATATTTAAAGCAGATTATGTACATCTGTGTTTGACATGATTTGGGGGATCTTAGGGTACGATAGGACACAAGTCTGGAGGCCTCAAATGACAGACTAAACAGGGTGGATTTAATCTAGTACACTGTAAGCATCTCCTCAAAAACTGAATTAGGGTGTGGGACTAGAGATGGGAAAATCAGCTGTAGCTTATGCCTATCTTTACAGCACTTGGAAAGTGGAAGCAGGAGGATCAAAAGTTCAAAGCTAACCTGGGCTATAAGAGATCATCTCAACAAATAAAACAACCGACCAACCAACGAAAAACAAACAAACAAGATGCTCCAAATGTCTACATCACCAGAGTTGAGGGGTTTTTATGATTTGTTTATTTTTATGTGTATAAATGCTTGTCTGTGTGTGTATGTGTGTTGCATGTGTGTGCCTGGTGGCAGTAGGAACCAGAAAGGGGCCTCAGATTCCCTGGAACTGGAACGGTGGTGAACCACCATGTAAATGTTAGGAGCCTAACCCAGGTCTTCCAGAAGAGCAGCAAGGGCTTTTCACCTCAGGGCCCAGAGCTGAGGTTTGCTGTTTGTTTGTTCTTTCAGGGGAGAGTATGAAAGCCATACCACAAATTATGTAGTCAACAAATCTGGGGAGCAAAATCTTTTAGAGATAGCCAGAGTGCTGCCTCTTTTTTCTTGCCTTCTTTGAGTCATTTGAAATGCTTGTGATTTTCAGCAAAAATGCCCACCCCCATCTCTCCCTTCATTTCTCTTACTTGGGATCATAGATCTTGCTTTATCCTGCTTTTTTTTGTGTGTGTGTATTTTTGTTTTTGTTTTTGTTTTGTTTTGAGGCAGGGTTTCTCTGTGACTTTGGAGGCTGTCCTGGAACTAGCTCTGTAGACCAGGCTGGTCTGGAACTCACAGATCTGCCTGTCTTTGCCTCCCATGTGCTGGGATCAAAGGCGTGGACCACTACCGCCCTATCCTGCTTATATTTAAAGGAACTGTGCTCATAGAGTTCGGCTTGTGGATGTGCTGGTGCTTTCCTTTAATCCCAGAAGGAGGCAGAGGCAATTGGATCTCTGTGAGTTTGAGGACAGCCTGGCTTACCTAGTGAGTTCCAGGACAGCCAGACCCTGTCTCAAACAATGACGACAACAACAAAAAGCGTTCAGCTTAGAATCTGAATTTCTTTTTTCTTTCTTTAGATTTATTTATTTTGCTTTATGTGCTTGCCTGCTTTGCCTGCATGTATGTATGTGTACTCTATTCCCAGGAAATGGAGTTGTGTTGTGAGTCACCATGTGGGTATTTGAAACTGAATCTGGGTTCTCTGCGAGAGCATCGAGCACCCTTAACCATTGAGCCATCTCTTCAGCCCCATGGTCTGAATTTCAATGTGATATATTTCCATCAGCTATGGAGGTTCAGTGCAATGACCATTGTTTCAGATTGTTTACTTAAGATAGAATCTACCTATGTACTCCTAGCTGGCCTGAACTCACTTTTCATTTGTTTGATTGTTTTTGTTTTTCAAGACAGGCTTTCTCTGTCCTGGAACTCAATCTGTAGACAAGGCTGTCCTTGACCTCACAGAGATCCACCTGCCTCTGCCTCCAGAGTACAGGGATTAAAGGCATGCACCACTATTGCCTGGCTTGAACTCATGGTTTTGATCAGAGTGGCCTGGAGCGTCTGGTGATCTTGTTTCTGCCTTCTGAGTGATGGGGTTATATGGCCTCCCCACCAAGCTCAGCTTGATCCTGCATATGAGACCTTAAGTCAACAGTCTCTTATAAACTCCATGCATTTCAGATCACAGTTCTTGTGAGTTTCGTGGTTAACACTAGATTCTGGTAATGGAATGCTAAATAGATGCTTGACTATAAATAAATCCCATGGACAAAAATCACTGTGAGCTAACGTTTAGAGGAAGCTGTCATCAGTATTCCCACTTTCCGCTTTGCCTTTATCCACTACTCTTACCTCTACCTTGTCTACTGGGCTTGCATGTCCTCTCTCTCTCCTCTCTTGTCCCCTCCCCTCCTCTTCTCTCTGCCTCCAATTTGTTATGTAGGCAGGGATGACCTTTGAATTCCTGATCCTCCTATTTACAGGTCCTGAGTGCAGGGATTGCAGGTGTGCACTCCTGTGTCTGGTTTTATGCAGTGCTGGACCTAGAAACCAGGCCTGTGAATACTAGGCAAGCATCCTACCAGCTGAACTGCATCCCTAGCTTACTCCTTTTTTTTTTTTTTTTTTTGGTTTTTCGAGATAGGGTTTCTCTGTGGTTTTGTACTCGCTTGGTACAGTCCAGGCTGGTCTCGAACTCACAGAGATCTGCCTGCCTCTGCCTCCCGAGTGCTGGGATTAAAGGCGTGTGCCACCAACACCCAGCACTTACTACTTTTTATATTGTTTCTTTATTGACCTTGTTAAGGCTGTAAGCTTCTTCAGGTTGACAGGTCAATATAGTCTTGTATCTTTGAATCTCCTAGAGCACTTTTGCAGATTGACAAAAAGTCAGTTGTACATATATGTTAAATAAAACTATTAAAAGACTTAAGTGATGAGGCTGGAGAAATGACTCATCAGTTAAGAACACTGACTGCTGTTCCAGAGCATGGGGGTTGATTTCCAGCACCCACATGGAAGCTCACAGGTCTGTAACTCCAGTTCCAGGGGATCTGGCGCCCACTTCTGGCCTCCTGGAGCATACAAGTGGTACACAGACATACAAAGCAAGGAAAGCACTCATATACATTTAAAAAAATAAAAAACAAACAAAAAAGCAGAGCTAAGTTAAAGAGACGTTCATTACATTTTATTGGTTTTGTTTCTGAGATACTGTTCATGTAGCCCAGGTTACATGGAACTCAGTATGTAGCTAAAGGATGTCCTTGAACTCCTGATCTTCCAACTTCTACTTCCTAAGTATTAGGATTGCAGGTGTGTCACTAAGCCTGAGTTAGAGGGTTCAATATCGGAAAATTGTATTTACTAGGACAGTTTTCTATTAATTAACCTGTTTACTGAACTTTTAAAAGTTGTTTTGCTGTTGTTGTTTTGCTTTTCCTGTTTACTAAATGTTTAGGAGCTGGAGTTTTGTTTGTTTTCCTTCTCCTGTCTCTGGAGGCTGTCTTCAAATTCCCAGTCCTCTTACTTCAGCCTCCTAAATGCTGGGACTACAGGTATCGCCGCCACACCCAGCATGGAACTTATTTTTTGATGTATCCGGCATTAAGTCGCGTTGCAGCTGTCCTGAAGGCCAAGAAATGTTGCGAAAGAAATTCTTGCACTAAATAGAGGGTTGGACAAGAGAACCTAGAAGGTCCCTTCCAGTCCCTAAAGTCTACGAGAGTACTTTCTTTGTCAAACGTTACAGAAATAATATTCATTTGATGCAGGGGGGAGCGAATTTGTGCTATTTAAATCCTGTAAGGGAAAAGGCAGGAGAGTGCTAAATATAAATGGGATCTGAATATTAATGCAACCAAAAGAGATTTACAGTAGAACGAGTTGCTCTGCCCACCCCCCTTTATTCGTTCTCCCTCTGCCCCGCCGCCCCACAGCTCCCAGGGGCAGGAACTTTGGCATTCTGTTTCATTCCTTTCTCACTTTCCTCCCTCAGCTGAGAGAGCTCCGCAACTGACTTCTGTACTCGGATTCCTCAAAACCGTTTATATAGCATATATAAATCAAAGCGGCTTCTCCACGCCCCGGGTTCTTGTGGCTGTGGGTGTCACCCACATATCTCTGAAAAAGAAACAAGGGAGCCTTGTCTTTGGCCGGTGGGAGTTTGGTTCATGCAGCGGCAGCTCAAGCCCTGGGATCGCCAGGCCTAACGGAGGTGGTCAGAAGAGGATCCTGACCCTGAAAATAACGGTGTAAAAAAAAAGGAGAAGAAATAAAACAAACAAAAACGACAGAAAAAAAGATAAAAAGAAAATGAATTTTAAAAAGGAGAGAGAGATCGTGAAAATAATGGTGTAAGGCCCTGTGACAGCCCCGCCCCACACTCCCTGCCGTCCAAACTGGGGTTCAATGTGCTGATCTCGCTGGGGATGTGGCTTGAAAGCACCGTGCTCGCCGTGCAGCCTTTTCCTTGGGTGCCTCAGTCAGCTAACTCGGAGATTTTAGGACAACTTGGAAAGGAAGGGGTTGAAGCGAGCTGCCGAAATAAATCCTCGGTGAATAAAGCGGGGGAGGCCGCTGTCTCTGGGAGAGCGAGCGGAACAAAATAGACTCGCAGGGGGTAAATGCACGCACTGTAATCGCGCGGCGCCTGGGCCAAAACTTTGACGAACGACGCTAGAAACTAGCGCGAGAGAGGAAGACCAAAGAACAGGAAAAAACAAAAACAAAAACAAAAACCATCGTCCACAAAGAGCCGAATCGCAAAACCCAGGGCAGGTTCCAGCCTTTAAAAAAAAAAAAAATCTAAGTTGTCACATGACAGCCCCTGCCCGTTGCCCCGCTAAAGGGAGGGGACGCACGGGGGGGGGAGCGTCTACGTCATTTCCGTCCAGGCCGGAACCCAAGATGGCTGCGCTCTTGCTGAGGTGACTTTAGCCTAGGGCTGGGAGTCCGTGCCCTCCATCCTTGGAGGACCTGAAGTGGTCCCTCAGGGTGGTGACAGCGGCGTGGGCGCGCGGGGACAGGGGAAAGGCCCGCGGGTGTGCAGGCCGCGCCGCAGGGAGCCTAGCATCCTCCCTCCTCCCCGGCTCGGAAAGGGCTTAGAGGTCACTCTGCGTGGACGAGTGGCGCGGCTGTCACCCGGTCTGCTTCGCCCACGTCTAAAGCCTCTTCCCAAATTGCTCTTGTGGTCCCACCCAGGTCCGAGCCTGCAAAAACCAACTTCGTGATAAGTTGGCTCCTAGGCCTACAGTTTGGGGGGAGGGAGGTTTAGAGGCCGTGCGCCTAGCCTGTGCTTCCTAATCCCTGACGGTTATGCCGCTGCAGCGGGAGGGGACTGTGGCTTCCACATGCATACCCCCACCCCATGCCGGGGCTAGCTGTAGCAGCCGAGTGGGTCTCTGCTGCTGACGGAAAATTCACTTTGTTTTGTTTCCGAATTTTGGTTTAGCCAATTTCCTGTCCAGAGAAATAACCCAGATTTTCTTTTGTTCTGAATTCTTCACTGTTTAGGTATCGTTCCGGGAGCCTTAATAGTTGTAAGGGCTAGTGCCCTGAGACACTTACGGCACAAATCCCAACACAGTTTTGTGCCTGCCCTATTTTTGGAAATCATTTGTTATGGAAAGTTAGCTTCAGTGCTGTTGAAAATTCCAGTCCCTGGTTCTCCCAAATGTGTTTTCATTTCTCTTTCCACTTCAGTCATGCCGTATAAAAATAGAAGGATTCTGTTTAGTTTTTCTCTGTTACAAAGTGAGTCCTTGGGAGTTCAGGTCAGTTATCTTCATCCTCTATTTTCTTCTTACTGTGCGTTTTCATAGGCAAATTCGCTGAGATGGGACAGCACCGACCGGGTTATCCAGAGCTGCCTCCTTCATTCCTAATTACTTAACCACAATTGAACGCTTTCAAATTCTTTGATGAACACATGTTAGGGCCTGTTTGGGTGAATTGCTAATATTTAGGTTGAAATAATCATATTGGTTCCAAACATTTCATCTTAGAAGATTCAGGATTAGTGTTTAGAGTCTTCATCTTTGGGTTCTTCCTGGATTCAGCCAGCCTCAGATTGAAAATATTTAAAGAGCAAATTACAAAAAGCAGTTTGAGTTTGTTACCTGACAAGCGTTGTACTGAGTCCTTGTGAGTGAAACTATAGGTAGACCCTGCTGTAGCCCCCTCTGCCATTCAGATACTTATTCTCAGTTCAGCACTTACTGTCCCATGGAAGCGAGTGGTTGACTGTAGCTGGACACCCATTGGTTATATCTGTAAGTAACTTTTCCCCATTGGTTGTATTTGGACTGCACAAAGGTAGCACCCTCTTCCTTAAATCATGTGGTATAACATGTATGGAACATTCAAATTATATTGGGCATTATAAGTAGTAATACAGGAATTATTGGAAGTAAAGGACAGTGTGCATAGGACATATGTAAATACCACACCATTTCGTATAAATGACTTAATCAGCTGCTTGTGGAGACTCGCACCAGTAGTCTCAGCACTTAGGAGACTGAGACAGAAGGAGTGCTGAAAGATTGAAGCCAGCCTGAGCTAGAGAGTGAGTTCCAGGCCAGCCTGGGACACAGAGTAAGATCCTGTCTCAAAATAAAACACTTGCTTCTAGCTATACCCTTTTACATACATTTTTTTTCTCTTTTCTTCGTTGTGGTTGGGTGCGTGTGTGTGTCATGGCTTGTGCGTAGAGGTCAGAAGACAATTGTGAATCCTGGTCCAACTAAGGTTGTCAGGAGTTGTGACAAGTGCCTTCGCTCTCTGAACCATCTCGTTGGCTCCAAGCTGTACTATTTTAAGCTCCATTCCCAACATGGAAAATCTTTTCAGAGTTTCTGGTTTCATGTGAAAGACCAGGATAGATACCTTCTTTCATATTTCAAATATGGTTGTGGAATTTGTACAGCTTGTTTCTGTAGGGGCCTTGTGTAAAGCTTACATTGGTATTTGGGAAACAATAGCACTAGACAGAACATGCGATAGATTCCAACCCACATCTGCAAACTCTTGCTGGGTAGCTGAGTGACTGGACCTGCTTGGTGTGAGGAATGTGTGCCCTGCAACTTCAGAGACAATTCAGTTGATTTAAAGGGATTTGTTCCCACTTCTTTCTAAGAGCCCTGGGCACACAATGTCTGCATTCACCTCTTGCCTCTGAAGGGGAGAGAGAACTGAATAAGGGTTGGTTGGATTTTTTTTTCCCCTCTTCAAATAATGGGCCCTTCTGAGACTCTGTTGTAGATCATAAGGCTTTTGAAATGATTGTGAGTCTAGAATCAGTGATGTAATGGACATCATGAACCCATTTAGAAGATGGTTGGATCTATTTGTTTGCTTGTTTTATTTTTTGAGTCAAGGTTTCTCTAGGCAACAGCCCAGGCTGTGTGTAGACCAGGCTGGCCTCAAACTCACAGATATCTGCCTGCCTCTGCCTCCTGAGTGCTGGGATTTTTTTTTTTTATAATTTTGTTTTCTACCTAAAAGTTGCTACTTAAAAAAATTACGTAGGCTGGAGAGGTGACTCAGCAGTTAAGAGCACTGGTTGCTCTCATAGGGGACTAGGGTTTACAGCACCCACATTGTATTCACAACCATCTGTAAATTCAGTTCAGGAAACCCAGTGCCCTTTTCTGGACTCTGAAGGCACCAGGCATGCACATGGCACATGGACATACATGCAGGCAAACACCCATACACATAAAATATATAAAATTAGAAGTTAATTACATTTTATTTATTTTGTGTGTGATGGTGCATGCCACAACACACATGTGGGAATCAGAAAATTTGCAAGGAGTTGGTTCTCTCCTTCCACATGTAGATCCTGGGATCAAACTAAAGAAACCAGGCTTGTAATCCTGCAATCCCAGCATTCAGGAAGACATACAAGATTCCCACATGTGTGTTGTTGCAAACCTGGTCTACCGAGCGAGTTCCAGGACAGGCTCCAAAACAATACAGAGAAACCCTGCCTCGAAAAACCAGAAAAAAAAAAGAAAGAAAGAAAACATAATTATTTTTTATAAATACTTTTTTGTGAGAATGGTAAAGAATCTTTGCTTTCTCATGTTTTTTATACTATTACATGAAAGGCTTTGTGACTTGAAGTTTATCTCTGCTATCTGGAAGGTTTTTTTTTTTGTTTTGGTTTGGTTTTTTGAGACAGGGTTTCTCTGTATTGTTTTGGAGGCTGTCCTGGAACTCACTCTGTAGACTAGGCTGGCCTTGAACTCACAGAGATCCACCTGCCTCTGCCTCCTGAGGGCTGGGGTTAAAGGTGTGTGCCACCAACGCCCGACTGCTATCTGGAAGTTATGGTAGGTTTCTAATTTTTAAACATTAATTATTAATTACTATTATTGCATGGTGTGTGTGTATGCCTGCCTGCGTGCACATGTGGCAGTCAGAGGAGAACTTTGTACAGTTGGTTCTCTTCTTCCACCTTTAAGTGGGTTTTGTGGAATTGAACTCAGGTTATCAGGGTTATATAAAGTGCTTTTTGGAGCTGGGGAGTTTTTTAAATGACCTAGCTTAGTATTAGGAAGGTCCATCCTCAAATCCATTGGAGCAGGTCTCTGCCATACATAAATTGTGTGCTTCCCGATGTCACTTACTTACTTGTTTTGTTTTTGCAATGCTGAGTATTAAACCCAAAGCTTCACCCTATGAACGTTAGGCAAGCACTGTATCACTGAGCTATTAGCTGCCCCCTCTTTATTAAACTCTTATGTTTTATTTAACTACCTCCTCTAAGACCTAGCTTTAAAACAACATCCTGAAGATAAACATGGAATCCTAGCACTTGGGAGGTGGAAGTACTTTAGTTACATAGTAAATTTGAGGCCAGCCTAAACTACATAAGACCCTGTCTTAAAAACACACAAGTTTGGCCAGGCGTTGGTGGCACACGCCTTTAATCCCAACACAGGCAGAGGCAGGCGGATCTCTGTGAGTTCGAGGCCAGCCTGGTCTACAGAGCAAGTTCCAGGACAGCCTCCAAAGCCACAGAGAAACCCTGTCTCGAAAAACCAAAAAAAAAAAAAAAAAAAAAAAAACCAAAAACACACACACACACACACACACACAAGTTTGTTTCTGTATATTATTATTGGATCTCATTCTTTCACCTATTATTTGTTTTCATTTAAAACTTCATTTTGCATTTGTAGGTAGTATTTCTGATTATTCTTTACTTAGAGTATAGTTTTAGGTTCTTTTATTATTATCAAGAGAGGATCTTGTAGCACATGCTGACCTGAAAATCGCCATGCTCCTGTTTCAGCAGCATAACTGCTAGAATTATAATCTTATTACCATGTCCTTCTGAGTTATAATCTGTCCTTCCTCGTCTCCCTCTCCCTCCCTCTCTCCCTTCCATTTTGGAACAGGGTCTTGTGTAACCTCGACTAGCCTCACACTCAGTATGTAGCTGAGGCTGTTCTTGATTTTCTAACCTTTCTGCCTCTGCACTCAGTGCTAGAATGACAGCTGTGCTTACCATGACCCTCTTCAAGTCGTAGTTTTTTCAGCTAGAAACTAGGGACACTGTACTTATCTTCTTTTATGGTTTTGATGCTGGAGGTTGAACCCAGGGGCCCATGTGTGTTAAGCATACACTCTACACTGAATTATACCCTCAATCTTCATTTCATTTTCAGTCTGTCTTTCCACATCTAATATAATACAAAGGAGCCAGGCATGATAGTGCATCCCTTTAACCCCAGCACTTGGGACACAGAGGTAGGTGGATCTCTGAGTTTGAGGCCAGCTTGATCTGCGGAGCAAAGCGAGTTCCAGGACAGCCAGGGCTACTCAGAGAAACCTTGTCTCACAAGATAGAAATAGATAAATAATAATAATAATATAGTACAAAGAGGGGAGTTGATATGCTGGTGTTGGTCTCTAAATTTGTATTCTTGAATCTCTTGCAGACACGTTGGCCGTCACTGCCTCCGAGCCCACCTTAATTCTCAGCTCTGTCTCAGAAAGTAAGTTTTGAAGTCTGTTGTGGAATATTCCTTTACACTGTGTGAAGATGTGTCATTGTGATTGGTGCAGTAAAGAGCTAAGTGGCCAATAGCTAAGCAGTATGTATATCAGGGACTTCTGGGCAGAAAGCTCTGGGAAGAAAGGCAGAGTCACCAGCCAGATGTTGAGAAAGCAGGATGGGTAGTAGAGAGTGAAGGTAACCTAGCCACACTAGAAAGCAAACAAAGAAACATAGATTAAGAGACATGGGTTATGTGTACAGGGGTCCTGGCCGCACTTTTGTCTGTGTACTACATTTATTCAGTACCAAGGAGGCCAGTTGGATTGCCTGGGACTGGAGTTAATTACTGTTGTGAGCCACCATGTGGGTACGGGGCATCAAACTTGGGTCTTCTGAAAGAGCAGCCTCTGCTCTTAACTTCTGAGCCATTCCTATATCCTTATCCTTTTTTAATTTTTTAAAACATATTTTACTTATTAATGTGTGTGTGGTGTGTAAGCGTTTCGTCGGGATGGGTCAGGACAGGATGGAACAGGAGTGAGTGGGTCAGGTATTCTGGCACTCGGGAGTCACAGAATACCCAGTGTTACACAGCTCAGGTGGAAAGGTATCCTGGAGCTCGGGAGCCAAGGATACTGAGTGTTACACAGCTCAGGTAGAAAGGTATCCTGGAGCTCGGGAGCCAAGGACCACCACGGGTTGCATTAAGCTTGGCAGCTTACAGCCTTGCCTCAGAGAAAGGCTTCTCCGGTGTGTCAGCTCCGCTCCGGCAGGACAGGGTCTTCCAGCTGGGGATGTTCGCCTAGTGTAGCAGTTTTGCTCCGCAGGAGGTTTCTCGGGCGAAGTTGCTACAGTTCAGCTCTGCTCCTGGAGAGCCGAGAGCGGAGAGCAGGGAGCCGGGCAGGAGCAGAGTGTAACAACTCCGCTCTGCCAAGGAAGGTTTCCCGGGCAAGTGTTACAGCGCTGCTCGCTCTGCTCTGCTCTGCTCTGCCCAGGGTCGCCTCTGCTCGCTCTGCTCTGCTCTGCCCAGGGTCGCCTTTGCTCTGTCGCAGCCGCAAAAGAAGATCTTCACCCGAAGCTCATCCAAAGGTGTTTATTGGAAGACAGCTGGACCAGCCAAGCTGAACATACACAGGGTTTATATAGGGATTCCTGGGGTTGGGGAAGTTTTTCCAGGGTAGGGATTAGTCCGATTTCAGTGCTGAGCTCAGATTGGCTAGAGCTCTGCTCCGGGATTGGTTACTTTTTTACACAGGATTAGGGTCAGATTTGGCTCTGGTTTCAGGGCCAAAGTGTGTTTCTTTCTCTGGTCCTTTTTAGCCTTTTGGCTCCAATTTTAGGGCCAGGGTACATTTCTTTCACTGACTCTGATTCCAGGGACAAAGTGTGTTCCTTTGGCACTGGTTTTAGGGTCAGGGTACATTTCTTTGGTTCTGGTTGCAGGGCCAAAGTGTGTTTCTTTGGCTCTGCTCAGGGTGTGTTTCTTTGACTGGTCCCTTTTCCCTACATGGTGGGCCTCATGGATATGGAGGTCTCAGAAGACATCTTGTGGGAGTGGTTTTTCTCCTCCACGTGGTCCAGAGAGACCAAAATCAGGTCATCAGATTCGTCAGCAAGCAGCTTTCCCCACTGAGCAATCCTCCTGCTCCAACCGTACCTTTCTTAAAAAGACATTTTAGGGGCTGGAGGGTGGCGCGGTGTAAGAGCATGTGCTGTCCTTGCAGAGGACCCAAGCCAGTTCCTAGCACCCGTATTGGGTGGCTGACCCTGCCTGTAACTCCAGCCCTGTGGGATCCAACACCCTCCTTCCTCAGGCCTCCTCAGCGTCTGCACTAACATACACATAACTAAAAATAAAATAAAACTTTAAAAATATACTTTCTGCTGTGTAAAATATGTACCTTAGTCCTTTTTGAACCTCTTGTTTTATTTCAGTGCTGTTCCTTTGGGAACCACAGCCAAGGAAGAGATGGAGCGGTTCTGGAATAAGAACACGAGTTCAAACCGTCCTGTTTCTCCCCACATCTCCATCTACGGGTGAGGGCTCTGGAGCTGGATGGTCTAGAGTTGGTCTTATTTATTTCTCTAAATACCGCATTGAGTACAGTGCATGGGAGCAGGGGGCTGGGCAGTAATATTAGCATGCAGCTCCTAACCTGTGGGTTGTCAGTGGGAGAGTCTTGAAAAAGTTGGCAACAAGTAAAAGATTTCTCAATGCACAGCTGCCAGAGAGAAAATTCAAAAGTGTTACACAAAAGCAGACAGGCCATGAGTCTGCGGTGTTTCTGTGATTGTGTGCCTGGTTCTGAGTTCACAGCACACAACCTTGTACTATACATTGCTATCACACCACACAACACTGAATGCTGTCTAAACACCTCTGATCCGATTTGAGGCCGTGATGTTCTGTTTTGAATTGTAGTGGTTTTATTACACATATAGAGTTTTCTGCTCTTAGAGAAGCCTAATTTTAGGGTTTAACTATGGAAAACAGTAACTTTTAATACTTTTCTACTGTGATCCCTCAGCATACAAGTATCAAAATCTCATAGCATTGGAATGTATTAGGCTAGAATGTTTGATCTTAAAAATTGCTTTTTGAGGCCGGGCGTTGGTGGCGCACGCCTTTAATCCCAACACTCAAGAGGCAGAGGCAGGCGGATCTCTGTGAGTTTGAGGTCAGCCTGGTCTACAAAGTGAGTTCCAGGACAGCCAGGGATATTCCACAGAGAAATCCTGTGTTTGCAATCACTCCCACCCCCTGTGTGTATATGTGTGTGGAGACGTATGTATGTATTTATACATGCATGCATACATGTTTGTTCATCTCCTATTTTCAGAAGTAGAAGTGCTAGCTGATTTTGTTTTTGTCTTCTGAGAGAATTCCTGTAAATCTTTTTAAAAATTAAAAACAAATAAACACTAACTCAGCAAAGCGTCTTGACTTTGCTGCCCTCTTTACTTGGCTTCCTGCCAGGGGATACTGGCCATTTTTTTAAACCACCTCCACAAATACCACAACCCTTCAGGATTTTTTTCCTGCTCAGATTCCAGAAATAATTTTAATTGTAGAAATTGGACATTGTACCCTACCAGAAGGTTAGTAAATGATCTTAGTATTCTATAGCGAAATCTTTTTAAAGACAAATGGTAAGAGCCTGTCTCAAACATCAGAGGGGGATTGGAAGGGGTAGAATTACAAGGATGGAGACAGTTCCAAATAGTCCTGGTCTTCCTTTACAAGTCATTTGGAAAAAAATGACATTGGTTCCATTTATGGAACTAATCATGAAAAAAGAAACAGTAGAAAACATGGAGCTATTTCCTAAATAATACATCAAGGAAAGATGTCTGAAGTAGCTAACATCATACTTTTTTATCTGTTTCTTTGTTTTTTTTTTTTTTTTTTTTTTTTTTGGTTTTTCGAGACAGGGTTTCTCTGTGGTTTTGGAGGCTGTCCTGGAACTCACTTTGTAGACCAGGCTGGCCTCGAACTTACAGAGATCCGCCTGCCTCTGCCTCCCGAGTGTTGGGATTAAAGGCGTGCGCCACCAACGCCTGGCTTCTCTGTTTCTTTGTGTTTTGAAATAGAGTCCTATATCATCCAGACTGGCCTTGGACTCTTTAGGCTTTTTTTTTCTGACTCAGGGTCTCACTGTGTAGCCCTGAGGTTACAGGCCTGAGTTCCCACAAGAAGTGTGACTGCTTTCTAGTTGTATAAGCTCTAGTGGGTACCAATATGGGGACCCTGGTGAAGAGGGTTAGAGTTGTATTTGTTTCTTCTTCTCAATGGCAGCAGTGATTTGGTTTTGTAAACTTTTTAAAAAGATTCATTTTTATTTGATATGTATAAGTGGTATGTATGTATGTATGTATGTATGTATGTATGTATGTATGTATGCCACTTGCATGTCCTGTGCCCACAGAGGCCAGAAGAAGGTGCCAGGTACCCTGGAGCTGGGTAACATGTTATGGGTGCTGGGAACTGAACCTCTGCCCTTAGCAAGAGGAGAAAGTATTCTTAACTGCTGAGCCATTTCCACACCCCAAGAGATATTTTATGTTTTACTTATTTATTTACTTTTTCTTTTTTCCCCCTTTTTGGTTTTTCAAGACAGATTTCTCTGTGGCTTTGGAGGCTGTTCTGTAACTCACTCTTGTAGACCAAACTGGTCTGGAACTCACAGAGATCTGCTTGCCTCTGCCTTCTGAGTGCTGGGATTAAAGGCATTTGTCACCACCACCTGGCTTCTTTGTTTTTCAAAACAGGGTTTCTCTGTGTAGCCCTGGCTGTCCTGGAACTCACTGTGTAGACCAGGCTGGCCTCTGCCTCAAGACCACCGGGATTAAAGGCGTGTACCACTGTGTCTTTTTTGTTTGTTTGTTTTTTATACTTTTTAAAATAAATAATTTTTCTTGTTCTTTTTTGCAGTGGATTGAACCCAAGGCCTCGTGCATGATACATAAGCATTCTACCTCTGAGCTGTGTACTCAGTCAAACTTCTTATTTTTAAATTAGAAATAGGAATGTGAAAACTAGGTGGAGTTTTTCTTGGTTTTTGTTTTTAAGGATTTATTGTATGTGTATGAATGTTTTGCCTTCATGTATTTGTGTGCATCAAATGTGTGCTTGGTCCCTTGGAGGTTAGAATGCTTGACAGGCCCCCAGAACTGGAGTTACAGATGATTGTGAGCCACCACTCAAATACCAGGAACCAAACCAAGTCTTCTGCAAGAATAACAAGTGCTCTTAGCCATTAAGCCATTTCTCCAGCCCTAGATTGTTTTTTTTGTTTGTTTTTATTTTTGTTTTGTTTTTAAATTATGTCATCCTAAACACCCCCTAAAAAAACAAACAAATTTTTAAAAAATTGTCTTTGTATGTTTCTTTGTAGTTGGTCTCTTCCCATGGCAATGTCCATTTGTCACCGTGGCACTGGTGTGGCCTTAAGTGGAGGTATGTATATTTACACACACACACACACACACACACACACACACACACACACACACACACACACGAATCTTTGAAGAGCTGCTGTTTCTGTGACTCACTTCCTTGCCTCCTTTCTCCCTCAGTAACTTGACTTAGAGTGAATGTAAGTCCCTTTAAGACTGTGTTTTCAAGGCAGGGTTTCTCTGTGTAGTTCTGACTGTCCTGGAACTCTCTGTAGACCAGACTGGCCTCAAACTCACAGAGATCCTCCTGCCTCTGCCTCCAACTGCTGGGATTAAAGGTGGGTGCCACCACCACCAGGCTCCCTTTAAGCTTTTCATTAATCCATTCCTTTAACAATGTTCAGGACTGTCTTGTGCTATATATCAAGTTTGAGGCAGTCTAGGATACATGAAACCTGTTTTAAAAAATACAAAAAAAACTTTTAAAAAAACCCTCACAAAACAAGGATGGTGGTAGGACAGGGTTGGGGAGATGGTTCAGTGGTCAAGAGTATACTGCTCTCCAGTGGACAGACCCAAGTTCAGTTCCCAGCACTTAGAATGAGTCCTCATAACTGCCTGAATACCGGTTTCAAGGGCTCCTGTTCTCTCTCTCTGTCTCTGTCTCTCTGTCTCTCTGTCTCTCTGTCTGTCTGTCTGTCTGTCTGTCTGTCTGTCTGTCTCTCTCTCTCTCTCTCTCTCTCTCTCTCTCTCTCTCTCTCTCTCTCTCTCTCTCGCTCCCTCGCACACGTCTTAAAAAGGAACATTTCATCTTTAATCTCATGTTATATGAGAGAGCCTGATTCTCTGGCTCAGGAGTGCAGTGCTAGCCTAGCATGGATATAGTTCTGGTTCAATCTCCAGTCTCCAATACCATGAAAAAGGTTTGTGGTGAAGGGCAGGCTACTAGGACTCTGATGGTAATATCAAATTGTAGTATGATGAATTGCTCCCCCTTCTAACATCCCTCACAACTAAGATAAAAACAAACCTTCCTGTAGGCCCATGTGAAAATTACCTAAAACGTTAATCCAAGGTTTCCTAAATCTTCCCTGGTGTCCAATATATCAGGTTCAGGAACAGCACCTCTAGACCCCCCCCCCAGGACCTGGGTGCCAGCACAGAACAGTCAAGACTGCCCCACCGAGTCACCAGGAAATGCCAGCCCTGTAGGCTCTAACATCTGTAAAGTGCTATGTGATTGTCAGTAAGTGTTCTGCCGCTTCTAGAAGTTGCCAAAAATTCTTTCAGGCACTTCTTCCTAGAAAGCTTTGCAACAAAAGTGAAAACATCTAAAGAACCCTGGGAAAGCTGTCCAAGTGACCATCAAAACTCGGCTTGGTAGTTCCCTGTTATCTTCTAATCTCTCTCTCTCTCTATATACTCATATATATATATATATAGAATATAGACTATATATATATATATATATATATATATATATATATATATATATATATATATATAAATAATAAATAAAATATAAATATAAATATAATATATATAGAATATATATATAAATATATAGAATATAAATATATATATATAAATATAGATATAATATATATATAAAATAATAGGAATAATATATATAATATGATATATAATATATGAATATAGAATATGATATAATAAATATATAATAATAATAATATAAATATATAATATATAATATATATATATATATAATATATATATGATAATATATATATAGAATAATAATATATATATAGAATATATAATATAATATATATAAGAATAATAATAGAATAATAATATTGAATATATAATATATATGTAATAATGAATATATATATATAGAATATATATAGAATAATATAAGATATAATGAATAATAATATGACAATATTGAATATGGCACTCTCGCTCTGCTCTCTCTACGGCATCTAAGCTCTGCTCTGCTCTCTCGCTCTCGCTGGGATTATGAGCATATGCTACCATGCTTTGTTTTGTTAATTTTTTTACATTCATGTGTATGTGGGTTTTTTGTATGCATTTCTACACACTGTGTGAGTACCTGGTGCTGGAATTGGCGAGAAGAAGGCATTGGCTCTCATAGAACTGGAGTTACAGATGGTGTTAACCACATGGGTGCTGGGAAATGAACCCAGGTCCTCTGTTTAATCCCCCTGGAGCTGGAGTTACAGGTGGGGTGAGCTACTCAGTGTGGTTTTGGGGAACCAAACTCAGGTTCTCTGCAACATCAGTATGCACTTGTAACTGCTAAGCCATCTCTCCAGTCTCCTGTTCATGGTTTTATGTATATGTTAGTCAAGTATTTTGGCAACTGAACTATATCCCTGGCCTGAGTTTTCTCTATTTCAAAATGTTTTAGAATTGAATCAGGTGTCAAGAGCTGTCACAAAACCTAGTTTAATACATTACATTACTTGTAACTGATGGGAGGTTTGCTTTTCTCTCAGGGGTGTCTCTTTTTGGCCTGTCGGCACTGCTGCTTCCTGGGAACTTTGAATCTTATTTGATGTTTGTTAAGTCCCTGTGTTTGGGGCCAGCACTGATCCACTCAGCTAAGTTTGTGCTTGTCTTCCCTCTCATGTACCACACATGGAATGGGATCCGACACTTGGTAAGTTAGTTGTGGCTTTGTACATCCTGGGTGAAGGGAGTGGGAAGGCTGGGAGGGTCCGCTCCCTTCCTTCTAGATCAGTGTTCTTTTACCTTTTCCTTCCTCCCGCCCCCTTTTTGATCTCATTCACTGAACCCAGGGCCTTGCACATGCTGGACCTTTAACCTTAGAGCCATTCTCGTTTGCTTGTTGAGACAGGGCCTCTCATCTCGCTGTGTCACCCTGGCTGTCCTGGAATATGCTCTACAGCCCAGAATAGCCTTGAACTTGTGGTATATTCCTGACTCTACTCCTAGGAGTTGGGGTTATAAGTATGAGCACCACACATGGCCTGACCTTGTCTCTTTGTTTTTATTAATTTATTATTCATACAGTGGTCCAGTGGCTTGAACTCAGATTTCAGGCTTGACAGCAAGTGCCTTTTCCTGAACCATCTTGCCAGCCCTCCAGTACTATTCTTAAGGCTAATTGCACTGGGTCTTTACTCAAGTCTTTTTGGGGAGAACTAAACGAGGCCCCTCCTGCATTCCTTTATGAGTGTGGGTTAGGCCAGTACTGAAAGGGATCACTGTGAACTTTCCCACTTTTAAGAGGCATATAGTTATTAAAAGACCCCTGAAAGTAGATCTGGCAAAGAAGACATATCAATTAGATAAAGACAGACTGGTGCCTGTGAATTCTTGACACTGGGAATTTAATTGTGAGCTAGATAAGCAGTTACTGCTTTCATTCCTTTCTGCCCAGAGTTCCGAGTCTGGGTAGACTCAGGTGTTCTCACTTGAGATTGTATTGCATAGCTGGAGAGAATGAGAGCAAACACAGCCAGGTGCCAAGGCTTCCAGGGTGGTTTTTGTGCTTGTTATTGTGTGGTTTGTTAGTGTGCTGCTGGGAACTGAACCCCAGGCTCTTCTGCATGCTAAAGAAGCCCTCCCCAGCACAGCTCCATCTCCCATCCTTCTCAAACACTTTACCAATCTAAAATGTATTGTATTTTATCTGTATGGTGTGTTGTCTATATGTATAACTGTGCACCAACCATGCGTGTGCCTGGGACCCATGGAAACCAGAAGAGGCTGTGGTTATGAGCAACCTAGTGGGTGCTGAGAACCACACCTGGATCCTTGGGAGGCGCGGGCAGGCAGTGCTCCTAAATGCTGAGCTGTCTCTCTAGCCCCTCTTTTTTTTTATAAGAAGGTCTCATGTCAAGTAGTCAAGATTGACCTCAAACTTACTATGTAATGACCTTGACATTCTTATTCTCCCACCTCTAACTCCAAATTGCCAGCTGCTGGGATTATAAGAGTGCCGATATGTGTGGTGCATTTATTTTGGGCTTTTTGAGACAGGGTCTTGTAAAACCTAAGTTGACTATAAATTTGCTGTGTATCCAAGGCTGGCTTTGAACACATCCAAATTGCTGTTATATTTTCAGACAGGGCTTTACTGAATTGCCTAGGCACTGTACCAAGTATACCTTGAACTCATCATCTTTCTGCCTGGCCAAGTTGAGCATTTTAAGAGTTCATATTTTGTGATCCCTACTCTTGTATCTTTCTCCAGTAAATAGTTAAAATTTATTTTTTCCGAGTCTTCCATTATTTCTGAACCCAAACAAAATATCAGTTGGATGATTTTTTTCCTTGGTTTGACGTTTTATAACCTCCATGTCAGAGTCAGCTTCAGAGCCAAGCATCTTAAGGATTTCAGTCTGGTACAGTAGACAGCTGAATGAAACAACAAAAGTGATAGACTAAATGATCGTTAAATTACGTGTATTTATCAAGTGTTCCCTGGAGCAGTGTTCAGTTTGATTTGAAGTGTCTTCTGTCCCTGAGGGAGACAGTGGAGAGGAAAGGCAGTTTCATTGATGGCTTTGACTCCGCAGAACAAAGCTCGGGGGCTGGAAAGATGGCTCAGCAGCTAAAGGCTAGGCTCACAACCAAAAATATAAGGGCATAGCTCGTTAAAGAAAATCAGCTGAAGGCTTCACATCCCGGCTCAGGGGGGAGCTTATTTCTGTCTGTTTTTGTCTTAATATGGAATTGGACTTGGGGCTCACCTGGCAATCCTAGAACTCAGGCTTCTTGCCCTGGTTCCTACCCACTGTGGTAATCTCTTTGTTGAGATGAGTGAGCTGCCTAAAGGCTGTAATTAAACCCTAAGTCTGTTTTTCTGTTCTCCATCTAGCGAGCACTCGCTCTGGGTGAGGGTCAGGCTTTAGCTGTTTGCCAATAGAGTGTGTGTCTTAACAGTTGCCTGGCTGGAAGGTCTACCAGGACAGGGAAATGCTATGGTTATAAAGGAGGAGCTGTAAGGCCTTTGACCCACCTTCTGGAGGCTTCTCCTACCACTACCCAGTGCCTGTGTGAGCAAAGCCGTTCTGTGTGGAATCTGCTCAACACTTCATGTCATCTAGGTAGAAGCTGGCTGGGCATTGATGTGAGCGTATCTTCTCCCCCTGATTTCATTCTGGGCTTCCTCCAGTATTTGTCTGCTGTGACTCCTGACGCAGCCAGTTTTATGGTCAGACCGTAGAGGTTCATGCGTTAGTATGTGTTGAGGCTGCTTTATGTGCTAAGTGTGAAACCTGAACTCTGCTTTTTGCCCCAGAGCAGTGGTTCTCAACCTTCCTAAGGCTTCGACCCTTTAATCCAGTTCCTCATATTGTGACCCCCAACTGTAAAATTGTTTTGTTGCTGCTTCATAACTGTAATTTTGCTACTGTTATGAATCATAATGTAAATATCTGATAAACAGGATACCTGATATTTGACCCCTATAAAAAGGTCCTTGGGCCCCACCCCAAAAAGGGTCTCTATCCACAAGTTGAGAACCCCAGCCCTAAGTATTTATAGCCTGAGAGAGTATGAGAGTCTAGGCTTTGTTTTGTTTGTTTTCTTTTTGGTGCTGGAGGTCTAATTCAAGTTAGTACATAAAAGGCAAGTGTCTTACCACTAAGATACAGCACCCCCATTCTTGGTGGAATATTAAAGGCCACATTAAAAATGTGACCTTTGACCGGATGGATAGACAACACCTTAGTGGATTGATACCAACAAAAATAAAGGAAGACGGAAAGGACAAAGGAATTTAAATGTTCACAAATTTGTACTACATGTACATTTCTACTTGCTCCAATTTAAAGGCTCTTTTTAGTAGGGTCATAGTAAAAAAACAACTTTTGAGAGTCAGGCATGGGTGTAAGTGCCTATGGTCCCAGCTGTTTAGGAACCTGAGGATGGAGGATCTCTTGAGCCTAGGAATTTGAATGTATCCTGGGTCAATATAGTGAAGTCCTGGATGGGAGAGAATGAAAGAAGAGAGAAATTGAAAGTTAAGATCCTGCTGGGGGTAGTGGTGCATGCCTTTAATTCCATACTCAGGCAGGCAGAGTCCTATGAGCTTGAAGTCAGTTGGTTTACTTACAGAGTTCCAACCAGGAGTATATAGGAGATCATGTCAAAAAAAAAAAAAAAAAAAAAAAAAAGACAGACTGCCTTAGGGAATTGCTTGAGAAACTTGCAAGTTATGTGTTTCCCAAGTTCATGTCACCACAAAACTTCACCAGCTCCACATAATGCCCTACACTGTGCAGAAGTATGCTTGGGCCAGACATGCGGAGTGCCCATAATTCCAGCACTTAGGAAATTTAAGCAGGAGGGTCTTGAGTTGCGTTCACTCCGGGCTACATGGTGATTTCTGGGCTAGTCTGGATTATAAAGGATTCCATCTCAGAAAACAAAACTATGTTTTGAAGGAATATCTTTCTGGAAACATTGGTCCAAGTATGCTGTCACATGGGGGGAGGATGCTGAGTCTGTCCAGTCTGGAAGCTGTTGTTTAAAGGCCTTTGGCATTCTGGAGAACATTCACCATCATGTCATATCACATGAGAGGACTTGATTTTCAGTCACTGGGGAAGTGGTGGTTGTGACTTTTAAAAGAGTGAAATTGGGGCCGGGCGTTGGTGGCGCACGCCTTTAATCCCAGCACTCGGGAGGCAGAGGCAGGCGGATCTCTGTGAGTTCGAGGCCAGCCTGGTCTACAAGAGCTAGTTCCAGGACAGCCTCCAAAGCCACGGAGAAACCCTGTGTCAAAAAACCAAAAAAAAAAAAAAAAAAAAAAGAGTGAAATTGGGATATAGGAATATAGTACTTTTCTCTGGAATCCCTTAGAAGGTAGGTAGTCATTCAGCAGAAATTATAGAAGTGATTGGGGTTCTAATTACTAAAAATAAAAACTTTCCCTCTTTTTTTTTCTACAGATGTGGGACCTAGGGAAAGGCCTGGCGATCTCCCAGGTCCAGCAGTCTGGAGTGGCTGTCTTGGTGCTTGCCCTGCTGTCCTCTGTAGGGCTAGCAGCCATGTGAAGAGCTGAAATTCCCATCATCCTCCTGTACATTATCACACTGATTCATATTCCCATTTATCACTCTTATCTCCAGCCACCAAGGTTCCCCTGATTTGTTTAGATGCCATGTGCTTCAGATCCCATTGGGGCTCAGTAGAGAGGCTTGAAGAACTGTAGTAGTAGAAAAAGGTCATTTTCCCCAGGCCTGGGCCCTTACTCCCTCTCCACATTTGACTTTGATTTGTGCTGAGCATCAGCTTTCGACTGTGGAAACAATGCCAGTCCTGTGGCTGCCCTGGGTACCACTGCCTGTGGGCTGCTGGCTTAAAGGACAGTTGTGTTCATTGGTCAGCGCAGGGCCGTTAGCACCCACACAGTGTGACTGAGAGGAGAGAGGTGGGGGTGGAGGGATGGTTCTGCCCAGCCAGAGGGAGACAAAGAAGGAGTTGGATCTCGGGAGCTCATGCTTGGGAAAAGATACAGATAGAGCTTTTGATGGATGAGGAAGATCCAAAAATTGTGTTTTCTGTTCTGTTTTTCACTTCTAGTGAAGCACACCTTCAATGTAGTGTTTTTGAATCTAAATTCTCAAATTGTCTTCTTTGGAAATGATTAAAATACTACTCATGTTTGACTCTTTGAAATCTGGTGAGGGTTAATAGAATCTTATTTGTGCCCCTTCCTTTGGGGGACATTTACACCCTAAAGTATGACTTTTCCCAGAATGGAAATAGTTTGTCCTACAACTGACCACGTTGGGGTGGGGGGGTCTGTGGTAGTGAAGAGGTTTGGGTACTACAAGGAGGCCTCAGAGAAGAGAGCAGAGACGGAGCATCTCTCTCTCTCTCTCTCTCTCTCTCTCTCTCTCTCTCTCTCTCTCTCTCTCTCTCTCTCTCTCTCTCTCCATTTAAGGACACCTAGCACCAGTGGAGGTGACTGCTGAGAATTAATAACCTACACATGTGAGGGGGGTTGGGGTTAGTAGAGAATTTTTAAAAGTGGAGCAGGACTGTGGGGTGTCAGAATCCGAGAAAACGTATATAATGGGAAAACTTGCTGTCCGTAGCAGGAGTGCTTTGTCTGTGGTGCTGGGTCCTTGTACATGTTAACAAGCACTGCACCACTGAACTAGTCCCTTAGCTAGGAGTACTACTTTGATAGTTTTCGAACTCTGGACTGGGAGATTCACCGTGGGACTAGGTATTTGGCTCCATGGTAGCATGCCCAAAGCCAATGGTTCAATCCCCAGACCAGGAAAAGCACTATTCCAAGAGACCAGTCAAAGCAGTGGATTGAAGAATGCCGTGGCAATTGCACGGGACGAGAGCGTGAACTCAGCAATGGCGGGGGTGCAGGCTGCTTTCGCAGCCTCTTGAAAATCTGTTGAGAAAAGGCCTTACGGTGTATCCCCGACTGACCCAGAACTCAGATCCCAGGTGACCTCCAGTTGGTGTGATACTGCTTTGCTGCCGCCGAGCTTCCACTCTTGCCGTCTCTTCTGGCTCCCAGGTAGTCCTAGGCCTTAAGTAATGATCACTTGTCCCTTTCTCAAGACAGGCCCTGGGGAGTCTTGTGTTGCTAGGGATTGTTTGAACCTAGGGGCCCACTAATGCTAGGCCAGCACAGCCATAGCCCCGGCCCAACTTTTTGTTGTTTTTTTGTTTTGTTTTTACTTTGAGACAGGCCTTACCAAGTTACTTAAGGCCAGGTAGGTCTTGAACTGATGGTTTACCTGCTTCAGCCTCCCAAGTAGCTGGAGTTGCAGGACTGTGCCACCGCATCTGTCTGTCCTGGGAGGCCGTGTAGAGTCAGTCCCTCCAGCTTGCGTCAGCTGTCTGCTACGTTGTTCTCTGAGTGGGGTCAGTGTTTATGGGAGGAAAGCCTCTGGCTTTAGACTTGGCAGGGGCATTAAATTAGCAACCAGTGCCAGAAAGATGCATAGCAGGGGCAATGGGAACAGATTGGAGGCTGGGAGATGGATGGGGACTTGTACACTCTTGCTGGCTTACCCAGCCAGAGGTTGAAGGGGAAGTGGAGCACCTGGCTGTCTTCTTTCTGTACTTACGAGCTGATCTGTCTGAAATAGCTATATGCTCCAACCACCAAACCTGACGACCTGAGTTCGATCCCCCAGGATCCACATGGCAGGAGAGAACCAACTTTCCTTCAACCTCCACAAGCTTGAGGCACACCTACATACATTCATTAAGTAAATGGATAAACACAATTATAAAAAGTTTCACATGTTCTAAAACAACTATTTGTCATTTTGAAGACACTGGTTGTACAAAGCTCAGTTCTCCTGGGGTTTGCCCTTGTGTGATGCAGACCAGCTTCCTCTTGGTCATTGCTGAAGTGTAACTAACATTCTCTATTAAGACCTTGCTGGAGCCAGGCGTTGGTGGTGCATGCCTTTAATCCCAGCACCTGGGAGGCAGAGGCAGGCGGATTCTGTGAGTTGGAGGCCAGGCTGGTCTACAGAGTGAATTCCAGGACAGCCAAGGCTACACAGAGAAATCCTGTCTCGAAAAACCAAAATAAAAAAGACTTGCTGTCCTTTTCCCTACTTTTGCCCAGGCTTCCCTTTAACTGTGGATTACAAAGACAGTCATAGAATGAGGAGAAAACCCAGGTCAGTAAAAGATTTAAGAAACAATGTTTATTTGCCCATCATTTCTCTGCTCCATGTTTCTGAGTACAGGGTCATTCTATTTCAGTCCCTAAAATGTCATCTCACGCTCTTTCCCAGCAGAGTTGCAGCTCTGCATGTCTAGACCTCAGCTAGACTAGGACCTACATGCTGGATAGTCTAACATGGGCTTGCGGGTGGGGTCTTTGGAGAGTCGATTGGAGTTTGGGGACCTGGAGTGTGACCTGCAGAGGGGTGTGAGCTTTGAGTTTCATCTGCATTGTCGCCATCAATAGCCGGGGAACTGGGAATTATGGTGGGATTTGCCGCTTGCTGTACAGTCTTGGTGACAGGTTTCTTCTGTTTCTTCTCTCTGTCACAGTCCTGGGGCTGTCAGGTTAGAGTGGAAAAGATCATATTTCTGGTTAGGCCCAGATAATCCCCAGTCAGGCTCAGAATCCGACTCCCTTCCTACGCCATGGACAGAAGGTCAAGGTCCAGATGAGAGTAGTTAAACTTGACCTCCCCTGGAGACTTTTCTACTAGGGTAGGGGTGGAGAACAGGATGACGTTTGGTTCCATCAGACCTTAGTGATTAGGTACTGGACCACACAAGACAGAATTGGTTAGAAGTCCCTCCCCTTGCTGGATTGGCATACCAGTTTTGAGGTTGAAGAGACAGGAGACAGCAGGAGTTTGGGGTAGATGGAAGGCTAGATACCTTGCCTAAGATTTCAGGACGCAGCCCGTTGGAGGCAGCGAGTAGATCAGGATTCTTCTGTATCCATTTGGTCAGGGAGGTGGCGGCAGCTGTTGTGCGGGAGGTCAAGGTCACCCGAGCAGGTGGTACCTTCAGGGGCATTTGCCAGGTGCCCATGAAGGAGCCCCAAGGACTTGCCTAAAAGAAAAGGAAGTGTTCAGCAGGTCCTCATGGCTGTCTCCTTAGCAGGGCTTGCTGGCATCACGTCCACTCTGTCCCTTTGGCATCTTAATCATGACCATTTCCCTACTCTTCCTCTCTCCAGTCAGTCACAATGCTGTTATTCAGGCCCTTTCCTTCCAGCTTAAATTTTGCATCCTTAGGCTGTGTGATAAAGAAGTCCCATGCGTAAGTCTTGTCATCTGAAGACACTGTTTACATAGTTGTCATTTGCAGGACTTCCATGTGCTAAGCGCAGCTCTGTGCTGGGGATCACTGGACAGAAAGTTGGGGCACTCAGTTTGGACTTTTATTTTCTATACAGTGACTGTAGCTCTTTTTTTTTGTTTTTGTTTTTGTTTTTTTTTTTGTTTTTTGTTTTTGTTTTTTTTTGTTTTTGTTTTTTCGAGACAGGGTATCTCTGTAGCTTTGGAGGCTGTCCTGGAACTCACTCTGTAGACCAGGCTGGCCTCGAACTCACAGAGATCCGCCTGCCTCTGCCTCCCGAGTGCTGGGATTAAAGGCGTGCGCCACCAACGCCCGGCTCTGTAGCTCTGTTTTTATGTATCAGCTCTTACTGTTTTGTTTAGCGACAGCATCTCTATATAGTCCTGGCTGGCCTGGAACTCTCTCTGTAGACCAAACTGACCTCAAACTCACAGAGATCCTCCTGCCTCTGCTTCCTGAGTGCGGGATTAAAAGTGAGCACCACCACACCTGGCTAATTCTTACCTTCTTGATATGAATGGATGTGGGGAATCTCACCTTGGAACGGGGCACTGAAGGTAAGAGATGACCTCGATCGTCGGCAATAATCTGAGTGTAACCTTCATGGGCGGCTGCTCTCTGTGGTGGAAAGAAAATTACTTGAAGGGAAAGAGGGAGGAAGACAAAGTGTCTGAGAGACTTGGAGTAAAGGTACAGGAGAGGAGAAGGTGGACCATTAGAAGGCTAAGGAGTTAGGTGGGTGACTGGGGGAGCATGAGGCCAGTCATCATACGCTGGCCTTGGAGGGTGCTGAGCTCAGAATACCTCTTTTGTGGGCCTGGCAGGAGACCAGTTCTGCAGGTACTTGGGTGCGAAAGCCTTTTCATACTATGGAGAAAAAGGAGAAGGTCAAAGGCTTAAGCTCATGAAATGATGACACAGTTCTCTATAATTGAAAGCCAAAGGCCTCAACAATTATGTAAACTCTTTTATTTATTATTTATTTATTTGTTTGGTTTTTCAAGACAGGGTTTCTCTGTGGCTGTGGAGCCTGTCCTGGAACTCGCTCTGTACACCAGGCTGGCTTCGAACTCACAGAGATCCACCAGCTCTGCCTCCTGAGTGCTGGGATTAAAGGCGAGCACCACCCAGCCAATTATGTGAGCTCTTAACTCACTATGACTAGGGGATATATAGGGAGGAAGAGATTTTCAGGGAGTGGGGAACTAAGTGATGGATTTAAAAGAAAACAGAAGTGGGGACTACATCTGGGAAGAAAGAAACCAGCTGGAGACGGAAGGGAAGAGGAGGGACTGAGAACAGTATACTTGGTACACAGTTGACACTTGTGTATGAAGATGCCCTGACAGTACCCTGAAATCAATGCAAAAAGAAGAAAGTTCATACAAAGAGAGAAGACATTAAAGACAGAGAAAAACGTGTTTCTGTTTTGCCGAGCTTTGGGTAGAACCCAGGATCTTGTGCATACTAAGCGAGTATAAGGTTATAATCTGTGTGCTTAGCATGTGTGCTGCCCAGCATGTAGCAACTGGCTACATGTTAAACATGTGAAAAGCAGCCGGGCGTTGGTGGCGCACGCCTTTAATCCCAACACTCGGGAGGCAGAGGCAGGTGGATCTCTGTGAGTTCGAGGCCAGCCTGGTCTACAGAGTGAGTTCCAGGACAGCCTCCAAAGCCACAGAGAAACCTTGTCTCGAAAAAAAACAAAAAACAAAAAAAAAAAAAACATGTGAAAAGCAACGTGTAAACTGAGGCCCTTTCTAAGTACGAAACCCGGGAAGGCTGGAGGTATAGCTCAGTGGTGGATGCTTCTCTAGCATTTACAGAGCCCAGGGTTTGATTCTCAGATTAGTGGGGGAGGGGCTGGATTTTAAAGAACTAGTATAAGTGCCCTCTTCTGACCTGCAAGGATACATGCAGGCAGAACACTGTGTACATAATAAATAAATAAATAGTAAAAAAAGATACAGGATGTTATGGACAGTAAGTGGAAAATACTTTAAAAATACCAATTAAATGTTAAAGTATTTTGGTTTATTGGGTTTTACTTGAGCATTACTAAATTTAATTTTTAATTTTCACATAGCTGCTAAAACCTTTAAAGTTCTGTTTGTGATTTACTCTGGCAATGCCGGACTAGACTAAGGATAAGTGACAAAATCTATATTGCTTCCTGCTTTTGAATGGCCAGTCTGGTCAACAAAGTGAGTTCCAGGACAGCTAGGACTGTTACACAGAGAAACCCTGTCTGGAAAAACAAAAACAAACAAAACAAAAACCACAAAAAATGTATTTTTACAAACATTTGTGTTGCCATTTTCACACACACCTGTAATCCCATTACTTCCCAGAGTGAGGTAGGAGGATTTTGAGTTTGTGAGCCAGTCTAGGTGGACTACATAGTAGCAAGACCTTGCCACCCCCCTACACACATACACATAAAAGAAGAAAAAACCCAGTAAACTATGAATTCCAAGTGAACAAAATGTTTTCTCTAAAAGAATTTTTAAAATGTGTAGACAGAGTCCCACTACCAAATTCTGGCTGGCTTGGAACTTCCTATGTAGACCAGGCTGGCCTCAAACTTTCGGAGATTATTTTGCCTCCTTGTCCTGTGCTGGGATTACAGGTATGTACCATCTTGGCCACATTTTTTTGAGGAGGGGTCCCATGGAGCTCAGGCTAGCCTTGGATTCAGTATATAGCCAAGGATGCCTTTAACACCTGATTCTCCTGCTTCTGCCTCTAAAGTCTGGGGATCTCTGGGGAACAAACACCTCTACATTTGCCTCAGTTACTATGTCTTGAATCTTTCTAAAGCAAACTAGGGATAACTTTCATGTAAATAGCTATGGCTTTGTTATTTGACTTACAAAGCCTAAAGTGTTTACTCTGGCCTGTAAAAATAAAATCACCACCTCCTGGCTTACACTCTACAAACTTAACTCGGGTCCTTTCAGTTCCTGAACCCTCCCAACTGTGAGGTGAAACCCCACCTCAACCCACTTAACGTCTATTTAGGGGCCAGGATCTGACGGAGGGGTAGGCCTGAAGGTAGCATCTGGAAGGTAAAATCAAATGTTAGGGGGTAGAACGAGAACTTACCTGATTGGCACTGTAGTTAGTGGCCATGATCCTTTCCTGTTTACACTTGTTGCTTGGCAACTGCAGAAGGCCAGCCCTCTGGGAGGATCTCCCAATCAGCAGGGGTTATCCACCTTCTGTGGCTCACGCTGCCCCCTGCCCCCCTCCTTCTCTCTCAAACCTGGGTTCGTTTTCCTTTTAGAGCATGGAGGACAGAATAAACATGAAAAAATGAGCTGAGAAGCGGCTGCCTCTTTCCCCAACATAAGTTAGCCCTGCTTCAGGGTTTCCAGGTTGTCTCTGGATGACCTCTTCAGCTATTTGAACTAGCTTTGGGCCACCAAGAGCTGAGTTTGTGAGACAGGGTGGTATAATGAACTAGCCGTAGAACTAGAAACAGGGACGAGTCATTATTCAACGTGCCTTAAGCCACTGGCTTCCCTTCCATAAACAGCGATCATCACATTTTGTAGAGAAGACCTGCTTTGTACAGTGTGGGCTGGAGTGAAGGGACTGACGCTGTAGCGCACAGTGGGGACAGAGCACAGCTGAGACACTGTTTACAGAAAACAAAGGCAGCTGCTTAGGAAGCCACCACCTTGTTTGCTCCCAGAAGGAAATGTCTATCTTGTCCTTGGTCCTCAGCAGCTCCCATCTCCCCCAGCACTCTACGGTCACAGAAGCCAGGAACATAGGTTCATAGTTTTGGTTAGGATGTGGCACATCAGGACCTAGGGTAGAAACTGAGCAGGGATGATGAACTCGTAAGATTAAAGCACCAGGTTTGGGAGGATCAAGGGATGGTGCCCAAACCTATTAGCTCTAAGACTAAGAGACCCTCTGAGACATATCTAAATTTCTGTTAAACCGATCTACTCATGTACTGGGGTGTTAGAAATAAAGAACATTTCAGTTATGTAGTCTCAAGTTTTAAAAAAAGAAAAGAAGCAAGGTGGCCAAAGAAATAGATACTTCAGAGCCAGATATGACCATGCATGCCTGTGATCCCAGTATTCAGGAAGCAGAGGCAGGAGGATCTCAAGTTCAAGATCAGCCTGGACTACATAGTAGGATCCTGTCGGAAAAAAATAAGGGAGGGACTCATGAGGCCCCACTCCTTCCTGGGGCCATATGGGCAGTTAACGGTTGCTGGGGGAGGGGCTCACAAGGCTCCACCTTTTATGTGGAGTCATTGTCAGTTAATGGTTGTAGGAGAAGGGCGAGAGACCTTTTTCTTTAGTGTTGTAGCCAGTCCTGGTAGATTGCCCATGCTCTTGGAAAAAACCTCCCATTCATGCAAGCAACTCTGAGCTCAGGAAGACATAAACACACTTAGACGCACACAAGGACATGGTGGTGCCTTGAATTCCAGCACTTAGGAGGCAGAGGCAGATGTATCTGTGAATTTGAGATCAGCCAGGTCTACATAGTAGGCTCCAGGACAGTCACATAATGAGCCCTTATCTCAGCAAACAACAAATATCCACATAGCATGGGAGGGGACTTGTGAGAGAGCAGAGGAGGTTCACTGGGAGTTGGGTGGGGATAAGAGGGTAAATACGATCAGAACGTATACGTGTATGAAAATGTCACAATGAAGCCACTTATATAATTAATAGATGCTGGTTTAAAGAGAAAGTGTGGCGGAGGGAGGGAACTGGAAGAGGCTCAGTGGTTGAGTGCTTGCTACCCCTCCCGTGGACCCAAGTTCAGTTTCCCAGCCCCCAAGGCTCACAACCACCTATAGCTACAGCTATGTGGAATCTGACACAACATATAATTCAAAATATTTTTTTTTCAAAATATTTTTTTTTAAGAAAGCAAGCTGCTTGTGGTAGCTCACACCTATAATCCCAGCTGAAACAGGAGGCTTGCTGCAAGTCTGGAGCTAGCTTGGGTTACTTGAGACTCTACCTCCAGAATTCAGGGGGAGATAATTGTTAGTTTTTCTTCCCCCCAAATCTTTATCCCATCCAACACACCCGCATAAGTACACTCCTGAGCCTTCTAGAACGGGCAAGAATAGCCCTTGTTACAGGCTCACAGTTGACTGCTGGATGCTGTGAGGAAGGAAAGTAGATCAGGGTGCTTTGTCCCGCCATTCTCATTCCTCTCTGGAGTGATGGAGAGACGGGTTATTTTAGGATCAAGGACTGTCTCTGCTCTGAAACATCCATCTTGTCCACAGGAGGAAAAGTGGCAGTTCTGCACCCAAGGCTTCTCTTGGGAATTCGTCTTCTTTACATGCTCTTACGGCACTTTTCCTTAGCTGTGAGGACAGTGTGTAAACATGGAGCTAAGTGAGGACAACCACCAGTGTCCATCCTGGAGTCAAATCGTCTGGGTGAAGTTCTGCACATGCTTGGAATCTGAGGTCTTATAGAAGTTCACCTGCCCAGGCCTCTGTGACCTTCCATGGAAAACGAAGACTGTCTTAGTTTTGAGCATTAACTATGCATAACATACCATGGTAGGCATTTGATACAAAGAGGGTTCAATAATTTTAACATTGTTATTAGCTTAAGAGTGCCCAGAGGGATGGGTGTGGTGACGCATACCTTTAATCCCAGCACTCCGGAGGCAGAGTCAAGTGGATCTCTGTCAGTTTGAGGTCAACCTGGTCTACATAGTTTCAGTTCAGCTATGGCTACATAGTGAGATCCTGTCTCAAAACAAACAACAGCAAAAAGATATCCAGAGAGACCAGAAAGATGGCTCAGTGGGTAAAAATACTTTTTTCTGATCACCTGAGTTGCTTGATCCCAGAACCCACATAAAGAAGCCGGCCATATCTGGAGCCACAGTGTTCTCTTCAACCTAGATGGCAGTGCGAGACAGGCAGAAACTCAAGGTGGAGGGAGAGAACCAACCTGCTACACACACACACACACACACAGACACACACACACACAGACACACACACAGACACACACACAGACAGACACACACACAGACAGACACACAGACAGACACACACACAGACACACACACACACAGACACACACACAGACACACACACAGACACACACGCACACACACACGCGCACACACACACAGACACACACACACAGACACACACACACAGACACACACACAGACACACACACACACAGACACACACACACACACACACACACACACACACACACACACACACACACACACACAGCTATTCCGGTTATGTTAAACAGAAAAGGGTGGGTCCCTAGAAAGTTACAGGTGTATTTAACATGCTCCAAGGTAAGAAGCAAAACCGTGTGCCCAAAACAAAACAAAGCAAAAAACTTGGGCTGCAAAGGACAAAGGAATCTGGAAGGCAAAGCATAACCACAAGGAGAAATCTTTTCTCCTTCAATATCACTTTATCTCTTCACCACAGAAATTAAGTCAGCCATTTGTCCCAAGCTGAGAACCAGTGTCCAGAGATAATGTGAGTTGTCCTCAAACAGTCTGACAATATAATCGGAGAGAAGGAAAAGGACAGAAATGGCTCTGGCCAATGAAAGGGCTGGGGTGTGGCTCTAGTTGGTAGATTGTCTGCCTCACAAACAAGAAGCACTGGGCTACATTCCCAGCACAGCTTGAATCAGATGGTGTCCAGTACTTGGGAGGTGAGGCATAAGGATCAGAAGTTCAAGGTCATCCTCAGATGTATATGGGTTTGAGAGCAACCTAGGCTATGTGAGAAGGCTGTCTCAAAATAATAAAATAAGAAGGGACTGGCACAATGGGCCACTGAGCAAAGGTGCTTGGCACACATAAGTGCCATCCCACATAAAGACAGAAGTAAAAGACCACCTCCAAAGGTTGTCCCCTGACTTCCTATCCAACAGGACTGACAACCTGAGTGCCATCCCACATAAAGACAGAAGTAAAAGACCACCTCCAAAGGTTGTCCCCTGACTTCCTATCCACACCGTGCACACAGACAATAATAATAGTAAATGAAAAGCTTAGAGATAAAATAATAGAAATGCAGCAAAATAAAAATGGAGACTTGCTTTGCTTTGAATGAATGGCCTTTTACAAAAATGTCTTGAAACTAGTCAACAGTTTTTACATAGTTTTCCAAAGATATGATGTGGACATGGGGGGCAGAAGGCTTGTGGAAAAAACTAATTAGCTGGGCGTTGGTGGCGCACGCCTTTAATCCCAGCACTCGGGAGGCAGAGGCAGGCGGATCTCTGTGAGTTCGAGGCCAGCCTGGTCTACAAAGTGAGTTCCAGGACAGCCTCCAAAGTCCCAGAGAAACCCTGTCTCGAAAAACCAAAAAAAAAAAAAAAAAAAAAAAACTAATTAAATAGATAAATCAAGTCCGTGGTGGCAGCACAGGCATTTGATCCCAGCACCTGGGAGGCAGAGATAGGTGGATCTCTCAGTTCATGGCCAGTCTCATCTGCAGGTTGAGATTCAGGACAGCCAGGGCTGCACAGAGAAACCCTGTCTGGAGAAAAAAAAAACAAAAAACCATAAATCAATACTGTTAGAACTAGTTATCAATTTTCACATAATTTTTCAAACACACACACAATACATAAAAATAAATGAATAAAAACTTCTAAAAACAAAAAGCAAGCTAGACCTGATGGCTTAGGACTGTGTCTCTGCCATACTGAGACAGGCAGGAGGATGCCTGTGAGTTTGAGGCTAGCTTGGACTACAAAATAAAACATAAAACCATGTGCATGTGTGCTATTTCATGCTCTAGACCTCTTTTCATAGCTTTGTGCACCACTGACGGTACATGCCCAGGTCATCACTTTGTATGAGCGCCGAGACTTCCCCCAGTTTCCCAGAGACAAGGCAGCGATGCCTCTGTTCTCAGTCACTTTGCATGTGAACACGTCTGTACATACACTAGGAAACAAGGCTGTAGAATCAGAGTCAGCTTTGGCAAATGCCTTTCACAGACATTTCATCCTTGGGCCACCTGTGAAAGTCCTCTGACAGGTCTGGGAATGGGACTTAGTAAAGCAGTTGGCGTACTGCAGGAAGTGCCCTGGGTTCAATTCCCAGCCCCTCAGAAAACCAACAAAACAGAACCCCCACAACCAAATAAGCCCAGCAAATTTGAGGCTAACCCCAAGGCTTTCTAGAGTGATTAGCTCTCCAAATAATACAGCACTGCATACTCTGGTTTATCTAATTCACCATAGCCCAAAGTAAGAAACTGAAACTTACCACACAAGCCAGGGTCTAGCCTATGCTGGCTCAATTCCCTATGTAGCCGTGGGCTGGAGATGACCTTAAGCTTCTGATCCTCCTGCCTCTACCTTCTGAGCACTGGAGCTGCACAAGTGCACACCTTGGAACCACACTCAGCTTCGAACATGAGCTTTGCTTTTTTAAATATGGAGTGCTTCGTGTTTTGTGTGGCGATCTTGCACGTGGGCCATGAGGATCTTCTCTGTCTGTGTTGTTCTGACTTTGATTCTGCGCTGTGGCTCACACCTGTGCTCTAAGCACTTAGAGGAGTATGCAGCTTGAACTTTTTTTTTTTTGGTTTTTACGAGACAGGGTTTCTCTGTATTGTTTTGGAGGCTGTCGGTCCAGCCCAGCCTCGAACTCACAGAGATCTGCCTAGCTCTGCCTCCCGAGTGCTGGGATTAGCAGCTTGAATTTTTAATGTATCCCTGCCCAGCAAAAATATGGAACCAAAACTTATGAGTAAGCAGTTATTGTTAAAGCCTTAAGCATCTACTTCCCCTAGCACACAGTTTGGACCATCTGAACCGTTATCTCAGGTTTATTGTCAACCCCCCAAGACTTCTCCCAAGTAGCTCCCTCGCCGGTCCAGATGATAAACAGGTGCTGGAGTAGAGATCTGGATTTTGTAGGTTTCCACATAAAAATTGAAAGTTTTGTACACAATAAGGCCAGAAATGATGCATGGCTACAAATGTAAACGCTTCACAAATGACCTCTAAGTCCCAAAGCTATGTTAATTTTCTTTTCTGAGACCACAGCACCCCCTAATGGAGATTGCTATTATCTCTCCTAGGAGTGTGTGTGTGTATGTGTGTGTGTGTGTGTGTGTGTGTGTGTGTGTGTGTGTGTGAAAACAATAACAAAAACG